ATTTCCTCAAATAGATGCCTTACCCCAAATGAATCAGCAGTGGTTTTGTCCAGTTACATTATTAACCTAACCTTTTTTTCCATCCCCTTCAGTGATCTGATGTACAAGCGTCAATACACGTTTTATTTCCAAATGGAAAAGGGAGGCCACTCTTAACGCCAGACCCGAATAAATCATTGGTGGCGTTGTCTGTTTGCAAAAATATGAGTCATACTTCATATAAAAGCCCCCCCAACTCAATTAATTTATATAATTACAGCCACTGCATTATTTTTTTCCTAATGGTAAAAAAAAAAAAAAAGTCATTTATTTGTCCAAAGTAGGTGTTTCACCAGGGGAGCGTCTGTTAAACTTGGGGCAACAGACCTATTTAATTTCTATTAAAGAAGTGTTTATGTTCAAATTTGTGTTTTTGAAATGTGGGAGGAAGCCAGAGTACCGAGAGAATAACCCAGGCAAGCACGGATCAATCAGGATTCAAATCCCAAATCTCAGGACTTTTAATCTGATCCCAAAAAATGTCCACTTTTATGAATGACAAGGGAGCTTGAAATGTTCTAAACTCAGAAGCGCGCGCCTGCCGACAGGCCAGTCGGCTACCCACCAAGATGAAACTGGGATTGTTGCGGTTCCTCCAGCTGAAGGACGGCACGCTGACTTCCGGGTACTTGTTGTCGTGGAGGACTTCACAGCCACTGTGGGTGTGGCCGCTCAGGATGAGGCGGGGCTTGAACCAATTCAGCAGCTGAGGCCAATGAGACAAAACTTTTTTAAATTTTTTTAAATCCTAATCATCATCATTTTGGAGAAGACGTGAGAGGAGACCTCACCCTCTGGGACGCCTCCTTGGACAGTACGTCGTACTTCTCCCTGAACAGAAGGTGGCGCTCACCGGGCGGCGCTGCGTCCGAGCCAGTGCAGCCTGCATCGCTCACTCTGTACAGCGGGTAGTGCTAGAGAGCGCCATCATCCACGTCATCATCCAATTATCATCATCCTCATCATCGCTCCAACACTTCTGAATGTGACCAACTTTTTCAGGGGAAAAGGTTTGTTTGGCTTTGTGTGAATGTTTGATCATATCTGGACAAAATATGTCCGGTCTATGAAAGTTGCCAACGTGTTTGGATCTTTTTAAAACACAGAGGTTAGGTTCCTTGAAGATATTTTGAAATTCCTCCCAAGTCCAACACACCTGATTCAAATGATCAGCTCATCAGATCATGAATTGAATCAGGTGTGTTGGGAGTAGGGAAAATCTAAAATGGCTCTTGAAGAACCGGAGTTTCCCTACCCTTATTGTAAATTGTGTTTGCTGCGTTGTTAAAAGGTAAATGTCAAGTTTCTTGAAAATGCTAATTTTGTTTTTTAGTGTATAAATTAGGTTCCTTGATGCTTCATTGTTTGGGGCGATCTTCAAATTGCATAGGTCAGGTTTCTTGAAAATGTTCAATTGTCTGTAATGTAAGCGCTTAAAAAAAAAAAGTTTCTTGAGCATGCTCACTGTTTGTTTTTATTTACTTTAATATCTTTGCACCGGGCTTGATGAAAAAATAGATGTTAATGCTTTTTTTAAAAAAATGCATACGTTAGTTTACAACAGATGATTTTTGTATCATAACTGATCTACAATGAGTTAGGCTCAAAGATGTTGACCAAATCCCATATGTTTTGGAATACATCAATGAGACTTTAGTTACGTTAACTTGTCTTTTATTAAAATAAATATATTGTCTAAGCTTTTTCAAAAACGCAGATCAGGTTCCTTGAGGATGCCTCAGTATGCTAAATGTCCTTTTTGGTGTTTTTTATTTTTATTATTATTTTTTTTAATTTGGAAGATGTCTTTGATACAACGCGGGTAAGTAAGGTTTATTGACGAACCTGATATATTCGTTTTAAAGCTACGTAAGTTCATTTCAAGATACTGAACTGTTTACAAGAACGTGTACATGAGATTCTTTGATGATGCAAAATTCTTCGTTTAATTATTTTTTTAATTCTGTTGACTTTGTTGGTTCATAGAAAGCATGAAGCAAGGAGTTTTGCTGAATGTTCTTATGGTTGGTGGTTAATGAGCTCACCTGTAACATAATGGGGGGTGTAGGAGGATACACCTGCGTGCCCTTGCAGCCATCCTCCGAGCTCTGTGGAATGACAGGACTTCATTTGTTTGTTTTTCATCGGTTTGTTGTTTTGTTGGTATGTGCCGCCGACTCGCCTGCAGAGAACAGTTAAGATCCTTGGAGAGTCTGATGAGCTCCTTCTCGACCGACTGGCAGATGGGGCAGCCGTCACCGTGCAGCGCCACGCTGTTTACCAACAAGAAGCTAAGCGTGCACACAAACGGACACATAAAATCGCATTCCGACAGCACTTGTTTCATATTTTTGCTCAGGCAAAACATGAGAAACTGCTCACTTGACTCCGTTTTTGGTGACGATCCTGGTGGAGGAGGCGTTGAAAACCTTTTCGAAGCGCTGCAGCTTGAACCAGTCCATCCTGCAGGGGGCGATAAAGGACTACTTTTAGTGCCCCCTTCGTCCCCAAAATAAAAATGTTGGCATTTATTAGAGCTTTCTCTTTTAAAACGGCCCCTAGCACAATTTTGCTATGTTAAATTTGGTGGCAAATGGCAGAAGTACTCTACTCTCAATACTTGATTATGACAGCTGAAAACGGAAGTACCAATTCCATTGCGGTAATTAAACAAAGGTAGTCTCTGAAATTCATGTAAGAATAAATATCAAAATTATTTTACATATTTTCTGTGGATATAAAAAGTCTGCCGCCCCCCCATTTCTTTTTTTTTAAATGATAGGATTTTGTGTTGTATCCTCACAAGGGTTGTGGGGGTGTGCTTGAACCTATCCCCGGCTGTCTTCGGGAAGTAGACGGGGTACGCAGCGACCTGGCCAATCGCAGCCCATTTAACATGACTTGGAAAATGAATGTCCAATTCTGAAAACTGCTTGATTCCACTCATGAGGGTGTGCACACTTGTACAACCACATTATCTCGAGTTATTTCTAGTGCTATATAAAAACAGAGTTGAGTTGTACAATTATGGAAAAAGTTTAGAAAAGATTTATCTTGGTCTCATTTTTCACATCCCTAAATCCTGACCTACCAAAAACAAACTTTAAACATGAGCACGTCCTCTTGAGGAGTTTCATTTATCTGACGATAGCGTGTACTTCCCCTTTCTTGCGTGGCTCCTTGTGTCCGATTTGCTCGACCTTTTTACAAGCGCATTTCGCTTCATGTTTGACATCTTTTCTTGTGTGAGGCCACCACATGAGGTGAAATGTGACAATTACAAATAAACACAGCAGGAAATGACATTTGTATGCATACAATAACATATAAAGGCAAGTTACAGCTCAGTTACACAAACACTGTTGTTAACTTATGCTGAAGACACAACTTTATGAAAACGCCACAAGGTGATAGTATCACTCAGCCAACACCTGATGGGTTTCTCCAAAAGGGCAAATGGTAATCTGTTGTATAACTATAGCAAAACTAATACTTTCTGACCGTGCTAGGGTATAATTTCCACATATCTGTATTTTATATTTCTGGCAGAGCTCACTTTTACCCCACTGCACTTCCGAAATGAAAGCTACTTTTCACTCGGGTGCAAGTTCCCCAAACCATCTTTGTTACTTTGCGCTATAGACACTGGCAGGCGAAGGAAGAAAATGCCGTGTCGTCAGGAAATCTTGATATCAACGCAGAGGTAGTTTGCTATTCGTCAACATCCAGATTGGTAACTCCACCACTGAAGTAAACGAAACCAAAATATAATGAAAAGAAATCGAAACAAACATAGCGATGTACTTTTGCTTCAGTAAGTGCATTTAATATCAGAAGTTACTTTAGATACTTATATACTCAAATATCACTTTCAGGTACTTTATACAAAATGGAGTTTTATTGTCTTGGACTTGAATGCCAACTTGTAGTGATAAGCACCCCGTGGAAGTCCAATACGGAAAACTTACAATCAAAGTCCAACTTTTATCAATTGCTGACTCGCATGTGTGACGTTAGACGCAACAAAAAAAACATTGAACTGTCCTTACTCATAATGGAAGCCGATGTCGTGATTCCCAACCAAGACCACCAGCTCGGTTTCCTCGGAGTGCCGGAACATCCTGTGGAAGCGCCGCACGTCGTCATCCCAATGCTGCAGAGACGAAGACACGATGTCACACGCTTACCAAGTGACATTGTGACACTTAGAACCAAGATTTATTTTTTCTTAAATAGATGCCATACCTCTGATTAATAGCCACGTGTCATCCACTTGAAGAAGCGCCATATCTCAAATAGACACCTCATTCTTTCCCTTACCAATGATGTCGTTTTAGTAGGTCATTTGTTAAGAGTAGGGGTCACGAATGTCCCACATTTCCTCAAATAGATGCCTTACCCCAAATGAATCAGCAGTGGTTTTGTCCAGTTACATTATTACCCTAACCTTTTTTTCCATCCCCTTCAGTGATCTGATGGATGCACAAGCGTCAATACACGTTTTATTTCCAAATGGAAAAGGGAGGCCACTCTTTTAACGCCAGACCCGAATAAATCATTGGTGGCGTTGTCTGTTTGCAAAAATATGAGTCATACTTCATATAAAAGCCCCCCCAACTCAATTAATTTATATAATTACAGCCACTGCATTATTTTTTTCCTAATGGTTAAAAAAAAAAAGAGGCATTTATTTGTCCAAAGTAGGTGATTCACCCAAAAAAAAAAAAAAAAAGTCATTTATTTGTCCAAAGTAGGTGTTTCACCAGGGGAGCGTCTGTTAAACTTGGGGCAACAGACCTATTTAATTTCTATTAAAGAAGTGTTTATGTTCAAATTTGTGTTTTTGAAATGTGGGAGGAAGCCAGAGTACCGAGAGAAAAACCCAGGCAAGCACGGGTCAATCAGGATTCAAACCCCAAATCTCACGACTTTTAATCTGATCCCAAAAAATGTTCACTTTTATGAATGACAAGGGAGCTCGAAATGTTCTGAACTCCCTTTCTCCAGCCAGTGGGTGTTGTATTGAAACCATTGCTCCCTATATTGGCTGATACCCTCTGCAGTTGAGTAAACGGCGCCCAAACCGACCGCTACCCCACTCCTTGCCCGACTTACATTCTTCGAGCTCCACTTGCCTTCGTCGAAAATGTCCCCCAGGATGAAGACCACCTCGGGCCTGAGAACCCACAGGGCGGTCTGGAACGCGCGCTCCATCTGCCATTCCCTGCGCATGCGCAAACGAACGAGCACTCGCTTGTTATGGCTTTAATGCCCAAAAATAGTCAGTGTAGGTGAAGATAGTGTAGCCCTTTGAAAGTATTGGAACAGCAAATCCATTTCCTGCTTTTGGAGCGCTGTGACAGCTTGTCTTTGCCTTTCACACATGACCCACAAAGCAGCAAATTTCCAGCACGCTGTGTAAAATAGTTGTCAGACAATTGCTTTCATCACAACAGAACAGAAGAAGTGAGCGTCGAATGTTACACTTTTATATTCCGACATACCGTTACGGCTCTTGCCTCTTTCACTCAGAAAACTGCTCAAGATCCAAAGCATACCACAACTCATCAGGGAGGTCCAAATATTTATTGACCTGACTGTAGATGCTTACTTTGGCATATTGGCAGTAGCTTTGAGCTAGCAAACTAAAGGCTCAGCTCGGCTGTGGTTTTAAATACACAAAATGTTAAGTCTCTTTCTTTTATGTTTAGTTTGACAGTAAATAAATGTGGAGTGGCAATAGGAGTGAATGCTTGTTGTCCATATGTTTCTTATTCTCATATACCATATGATGTTTGTGATTAGTCGGGTTGATGTATTCGTTCTTAGCATGGCTCAGATGATGTTGTACATAAAACAGTTCAAAAATGTGCGACTTGTGTGTGGCCTCGAAAAAGCAAAAATGTGGGCGTAGGCCATGCTCCTCTCCAGATGTTTGGTCTCATTGTGCTCTACTTGCAATGCAACATTACTGTGTGTGCGTGTGTCGGGTGAAACCAGCTTTTCAAGTGGCTCACTGCAGCGCACAAAGCATCACTATGATTATCGGGCCCTTTTATAAGAACCACGTCTCAGTCGACAACTTCAACGTTGATCAGGTCATACCGATTCACAATTCACCAGTTTTTTTCACATCTAGCAGGAAATAAAAGGAATAGTTTAGCCACTGAGAACTAGCACTGAGATCTCCATTTTGGTCGTTTGGGAGGAGAGGCCGCTGTTTCCTGTAAAATGTTTAGCTGGATGTAAAAAAACAGCTTGGAGCCTCTTTTTTTGGGGGGGGAAGAGTATTTACTAATTCTATCTAGCATTGCTACTGGACAAGTTTGTGTTCCCAAGTCAAAGCAAAAAAAACAAATAAATAAATCATCCGGATTGGCCCTCTCATATCTCAAGTCACTGCTGTATCATCAGCACTTTTGGGGGCGCGTGTTCCGACAAACATGGACGCACATGACATTGTGGAGCAACCACCTTTTATTGTATATCATGATCACACAGCTACAGCAAAAGTTGTCATGATAAATTTGATCATTTCCTCAACAACATAGAAATGTATTCATGACAAGTGTACATTAATACAAATAATAATAATCTATGACTTTACAATAGGATCTCCATATGCACATCGTTTCTCGATCCCCAAGTTGAACCAGTTGCCTTTGCCACCTTTAAAGGCACTGGTGACTATTCGGGCTTGTTGTGCACTTCCCACTAAACTGGTTCCATGAGCGCTTTTGCCCGTACCAGCTCGACCAGTCACTGCCGTGCGTGGTTCGGTCAGCAACTTGTCTCTCGTCACAGTACGACGGAATGCTGCACGGTTACGTCACGTACAGGCAAGTTCTCGATATGGCTGTTGGAGAGCTGTAATAAAGAAAACAGGCTAATTGAGGAATGGATTTGATATGGTTTGTGGATGAAAAAGGCCCAAAAATAGTCAGTGTAGGTGAAGATAGTGTAGCCCTTTGAAAGTATTGGAACAGCAAATCCATTTCCTGCTTTTGGAGCGCTGTGACAGCTTGTCTTTGCCTTTCACACATGACCCACAAAGCAGCAAATTTCCAGCACGCTGTGTAAAATAGTTGTCAGACAATTGCTTTCATCGCAACAGAACAGAAGAAGTGAGCGTCGAATGTTACACTTTTATATGCCGACATACCGTTACAGCTCTTGCCTCTTTCACTCAGAAAACTGCTCAAGATCCAAAGCATACCACAACTCATCAGGGAGGTCCAAATATTTATTGACCTGACTGTAGATGCTTACTTTGGCATATTGGCAGTAGCTTTGAGCTAGCAAACTAAAGGCTCAGCTCGGCTGTGGTTTTAAATACACAAAATGTTAAGTCTCTTTCTTTTATGTTTAGTTTGACAGTAAATAAATGTGGAGTGGCAATAGGAGTGAATGCTTGTTGTCCATATGTTTCTTATTCTCATATACCATATGATGTTTGTGATTAGTCGGGTTGATGTATTCGTTCTTAGCATGGCTCAGATGATGTTGTACATAAAACAGTTCAAAAATGTGCGACTTGTGTGTGGCCTCGAAAAAGCAAAAATGTGGGCGTAGGCCATGCTCCTCTCCAGATGTTTGGTCTCATTGTGCTCTACTTGCAATGCAACATTACTGTGTGTGCGTGTGTCGGGTGAAACCAGCTTTTCAAGTGGCTCACTGCAGCGCACAAAGCATCACTATGATTATCGGGCCCTTTTATAAGAACCACGTCTCAGTCGACAACTTCAACGTTGATCAGGTCATACCGATTCACAATTCACCAGTTTTTTTCACATCTAGCAGGAAATAAAAGGAATAGTTTAGCCACTGAGAACTAGCACTGAGATCTCCATTTTGGTCGTTTGGGAGGAGAGGCCGCTGTTTCCTGTAAAATGTTTAGCTGGATGTGAAAAAACAGCTTGGAGCCTCTTTTTTTGGGGGGGGAAGAGTATTTACTAATTCTATCTAGCATTGCTACTGGACAAGTTTGTGTTCCCAAGTCAAAGCAAAAAAAACAAATAAATAAATCATCCGGATTGGCCCTCTCATATCTCAAGTCACTGCTGTATCATCAGCACTTTTGGGGGCGCGTGTTCCGACAAACATGGACGCACATCACATTGTGGAGCAACCACCTTTTATTGTATATCATGATCACACAGCTACAACAAAAGTTGTCATGATAAATTTGATCATTTCCTCAACAACATAGAAATGTATTCATGACGACTGTACATTAATACAAATAATAATAATCTATGACTTTACAATAGGATCTCCATATGCACATCGTTTCTCGATCCCCAAGTTGAACCAGTTGCCTTTGCCACCTTTAAAGGCACTGGTGACTATTCGGGCCCAGCCGTGTTCTCCCTGGGAAAAAAAAAAAAAAAACATAGGCAGGAATTTATTCTGGGTGGACTTGGAAGTTGGAATTCTGCATGAAAACAAGGAAAGTCCGGTCCAAACATTGAAAATTCAGTCCCCCAAACCAGTTTTCCATGGCAATGGGAATTGTCAATCAAAGTGTCTGACTGCATTGTGCATGTGTGACACCAACCCAAAACTCTCCCCAGGAGTTCCTGACGATCCAAAACTCTGTGCTGTCATCCGTGATGCCCCAGCCAGCTACAGACACGATGTGATTGGGCAGTGAAAGGGGGTGAAACTCTGAAAAGATGCCCCCCGTGTAGCCATCAAGGCCCTTGGTGGCCATCAGAGAACAACTTAAAAAAAAAAAAGCATCTTCATCTCTATGTCTCCCCCATCTGGGGGGTACAGGTAAATCATCATTCCTGTTTACCTGATGGGCCCGTTCGTGTAAATCTCCGCTTTCATATGGTCTCTGCCTGAGACTCTCCCATAATCATCCACTTTCCACGTGGTGTAGTTCCTGACCACATCGCATGACGCCATGGAGGCGCACGAGCCGCACTGGTTGAAAAGCTCACACTCTGGGGAGGGGTCAGAGGGATGTCAAAACAACCGTGAGAAAAGAGCAAAGATGTAAAATAAGGTGTGGGGCAAATGTATGCACATTATGCCCCCTACTGGCCAGAAAAGTTGTGACATGCTGTTAAAAGTAAGTAAATAGCTTTGTTTTTCTCTTCTTGAGTGGTACAAAAAACCCACCCAAAACTCACTGAACCCACGTTTTAAAAATGTGAACATTTTCACCTGTTGGTCTTTTAGTCAAATTCCATCTGGCCCAAACTCAGAGGTGCTCTATTTTAGAAGTATTATTCTGATTTTAATTCTGAATTCTGCCCAGCAACAAATGATAACGACACCCCAAAAATGTTTGTTGACTACAGTTTAACTTTCTGTTCTGCTCTATGTATTCTTTTTAAAACATAGATGAGTAATTCTGCCTAGCAACAATTGACAGGGAAATAATGGGCTAATAACGGTGAGCGAAGCTTACTTTGGTTTTTGGCTTGGTAGTTGTTGCAGGTCTCATCCGGGATGCCACTCTCGTGAGCGTAGGCGTACACGCCCAGGTCATCGCCACCGTAACACGATCCCGCTCGCCCGCAGTCGATGACGTTCTGGACCGACAGATACGCCAACGGCCACGCGCCCCCACGCTTAATGTTGATGCGGTCTAGGCCGAGAGTGAGAGAAAAGATTAATGCGTAGGTCTCCGGGCGTGCCCAGCGCCGCCGTCACCACGGTTACCAGCAAGTGCGCTGGTGGCTCCCATGGCCCAACAGGAGCCGCAGTACTGCGGGATGTGCTGGTTCCTGGTGACGCTCACGTAATTCTGCCCATCCACGTTCCTCCAGTCCCATGAGCGAGGAAGGTCCGATGCCTTCATGTACTCGTGGGGTCGAGGGCGCGTTCTAAAGAAAAATACATTGAATTCCTCATTAACATAGGCCCTTTGTTTCTACACTGGATAGACAAAAATTATTATTTGATCATACAGTTTATCGTGATGGTATATGTTTTGTTTTACTTTATTTTTGTATTAATGTATGAATATTTTTACAATAAGTGTATCATTTTTTGTAAATATATTGATGTGATTTATGATTATATATTATAGTGTATTTATCAGTCATCTAATATGACAATATGTTTTGATGGTTTAGTTTGTTTTGGGATTTGTTTATTTTGTGATTTTAAAATTGGAATTTAATTATATCATAATTTTATTGTTTGTTTTATTTCTATTTCATTAGATTTTTATAGTAGTGCTTGATTGTTTTAATTTATTGCTTTATTTTTTTGTGTTTTCATTGTATGTACAGTAAATTTAAAATATAAATTTGACTATTTATATTACCTTCTACTTTTGTTTCATTATTTTTATTCAATTTTAGTTTAACTTCATTTTTTATTCAAGTTCAATTTTTTATTTCAATTTTTTCTTGCATTTTTCTGTTTTGCATTTTATTTGACTATATTTTTAATTACATTACTCAGATTTATTTTTCATACATTTGACGTTTTACTAAGCTTTGATCATTTTGTTAGTCCTTAATTTTCAAAGTGTCTCGTTAACATATGAAACTACATATTTATTTTATAATACGATGCAAAAGTCATCACGACTCGCACCTTCGCTTCTATATGCATCAATGAGTAGTTTTTTAAGACACGAAGAAAAGCCTTCTCAAAAGAGCATCAAATGGTCACGTCTACGAACTCACCGGACAAAGTCTGGCCTGCTGTCATTGATGGGCTTGTAACATGGTTCATTGAGAAGTTGAGTAGCGCTTTTAAACGGTAAAAACAACCAAAAACAATAACAACAACGTAACAGCGTAAGTCCAGCCATGTAAGGCGCCATCTTGAAGTCCGTCTGTCAGGCACTCTGGCGCGCCCTTGCGGTCAACAGGGACACGACATCAACAAAGGATGACGTAAGACTATCGCCACAAGGCAAAACGTCTGTGCGTGTGCGTTTGTGCGCGTGTGCGTTTGTGCGCGTGTGCGTGTGTGCGCGAGTGCGCGTGTATGCGAGTGTATGCGAGTGTGTGTGTGTGTGTGTGTGTGTGTGTGTGTGTGTGTGTGTGTGTGTGTGTGTGTGTGTGTGTGTGTGTGAGAGACCTGTCAACTTCAGGTGACGTTTTAGAAGCTACCGTAGCGGCCATTATTGTAATGAACCATCTCCGTCCATTAGTGAATTTGCTGCCTCAGCGAGAAAACTTTAGTTTGACTGTTTAAACTTGGTTGCTTGCTCAAATTGCATTACACCTAATGCACCACTGCAACGTGTGCATGTATGTATGCATGTATGCGAGTGTGTAAATGTGTGTGTGCTTGTAGGGGAGGGGGTGGGCGTGTCTGCATTGGTAATGATTCAAGGTGCAATCAAATTAAATGTGCATTTTAAACCCACCACTCATCAGCCGGAGTGATTCACCTCCACTTTGCTGTATTGACCTCACCCCCGTGGTGGTAGTGGTGATGATGATGAGCAATGTAAAGCCTTGAGTTTTCTATGCAAGAAACCATTTATTCACGTTATATTTTATGTGGATATTTTACATTTTATTTTATTTTATTACTTTTTATTGGTCATTTGTAAATATTTTTTTCAGAGTTTTTTTGTTCCAGAAAAAAACACAACAAATTAGTTTATTTATGTGATGTTTTTAATGGTTTGAGTTTTTTCAATTTTGGAAATGTTTTGATTAATTACATTTGTAAATATATTTATTTTGTTCCTGAACCTTGCAAAAAAAGTTACTTCTTTCATGTTTACTTAATTGTTTGTATTTTCAAATTTTGTTTTACTCCATTTTTTATTGTTTAATTAATATTAATATTAATATTTTAAAAAATGTGGATGGGAGTTGTTCTTGAAACTTGCGACAAAAGTTATTAATTTTTATTTAATTTTGAATTTTTTTAATTGTTAGATTATTAAAACACTTGAAGTGATTTTATCTTATTGTTTCATTGAATTGTAATATATTATAATTTAGTTTTGCTACTTTTTTCCTCATTGATTTTTTTTTCTGAAACCTACAAATAAAAACACACAAAGTAAGTAAGAAGTAAGATTAAAAAAGAAAAAAAACCTCAACTGTTGTGTGTGCCGCCGGCCTGTGCAGTGGGTGCATTAGGTATCTCGGCTCCTTCCTACTGCTCAATGACAACAATAAACAAGTGATTGAAAGCCATTATCCCGATCGACATCATCAACTAACTGCTAACGTTCGCTCCATTTGTCCTGCCCTGTTCCGGCGTTAAGTGAAAAGAAAACATCATTACCTAGGAAGAGCGCCCAGCTCCGTACCCCGGCTCGTAGACGACCGCAACGCGTCTTGACAGACGTCCTATCACGTGAGATACAGCCCTTTCACACAGAAACCCTGAAAAACTGTTGCATTGGCAGAAAACCACGGCGTTAAGCCAATGTGCTTGTCACACCTTTGCTGGTTTCTGTGTAAAATAGCACAGGTGTTTTTTTTTGCAGTATCTCTGCATGAAAAACGTATTAGTTTGGTTCTCAATGACATTTTTTTTTAAAGGATTCCTGTGTGAAATTGGCTGTAGTTCGCTTCTCATTTCCAGGCTACTGTGGGTTTTTGCAGGATCCGTGTGAAATTGTGTTAGTTTGCTTCTTACATGTTCCAATTTGACTTGTTATTTGTATGTTACGAAATGTTTTTTTTTTTGTAGGCTCTCTGCGTGAAACTGTCTTTTGTTTGTGATCTCCATGTTTGGGTGCAGCTTTTTTGCAGGATCTCTGCATAAAAGAGTCGACTGCCAATGATTTTAGGCCAGGATGCAAAGCCAGATTTAGTACTGAATCATCATCAATGTTTTAACCAGTCGGTCCATTTGGGAAGAGGTCAATAAGTCCCTCTTAAGCGTGGAATGAATAATGGATCAAAGACAAACGTTGCCCTCAACACAGGCATCTATCGGAGAGGGATCGGACAATTGGCATAAATCACGGCCTGATGCTATTGACTGCTGCGATGGTGACGGCAGCATCCGGCCCTTTTGAGTCAAAGCTCAAGCTGATGTTGTGGCGGGGCCCAGCTTGTCCCAAATCAACCACTCCAGCCATTCACTCCCATCATGCTTTGCAGAAACTGATAAATAATGTCATTTCAAAAGATCAAGGCACTAGAGCAGTGCGGCTTTTACCAGAGCATTTGATCTACTGGGAATATAGATTCCTGTCATCGTGATGCTTTTGTGAAATATTAGAAAATACATCCAATTATCCCAGACCCACTAATCTCTTGAAATAATGGGCATTCATTTGTACTTCTTGTCATCGTAAATGTGATCCCCACATACTACTTACTGTACATGGTAAATTTATTTTTACATATTTTTTAGATAACTACAAGACAATAAGAACATCATGTCTGTATGCTGTTATCATTATGTTATTATTATTTAACATCCATCCATCCATTATCCGAGCCGCTTATCCTTGCGGGGGTCATGGGCATGCTGGCCTCTAGGCGGGGTACACCCTGAACTGGTTGCCAGCCGAAAACTGGGCATATTAGTTCATCTTTTGAATTGCAACTCCATGTGCAGCCTCGTTTTATACCGATAGAAGGTGCTGTTTCTCCTTGTTCAAGAGTAGGTACAGCGGCCACTTTTTAAGGGGTGCGCGCGCGCGTGTGAGCGCGCGCGTGTGTGTGTGTGTGTGTGTGTGTGTGTGCGCGCGCGTGTGTGTGTGGAGGGGGTAGTTCATTAAATGATCAACTCAACTCAATTGTTTTTATAGAGCACTTTAATTAAAACAATCACCACAGTATACAAAGTGCTGTAAATGGAGCAAAAATAATTTCTACAACAAATGAGCAGAGACGCGCCGTAAAATCATTAAACATTCTTACCCAAGAATTAAAGTGTAAATGCCAAAAGATAATTGCTGGAAAGTACAAAACAAGCAACGTTTTGAGTAACGTTGTTGCTAATATTTGTGCTACAAGTGTTCCGTCTTGGTCCCCACTTACTCTATTGCCCACCACCGTTTTAGGGTGGAGTCTCAAACTAGAAAAAGCATTTTGATTGGCAGATGTTTATGCCAATCACAAATTGCCTTCGCGATAAGACTACCCAAGCGCGCGTCCAGTCCCACTCAAAAGTGTGAAATCCACGCGAGGAGGAACAACGAAGAGAGCTTCATCTCCGTTAAGTGTGTCAAAGTGTAACGATTACACTTGGACTCCTCTACGAACAAGCTTTTTTTTGCTTCAACTTGACAACCTGTTGCTTCATTTTGACAACAATTCGTCACGGGACCGTTTGCCCACCTGAATGGCGAACATGACTTGAACGCAACGCCCGGAAACAAAAGTGTCTTTTCGGATATGAGCTGCCGGGTGTGGATGGTGATAATGAAGCGTGGAAGTGGCGTCCTCTCGACGCCTTGGACAAGCCGCCGCTCGGGTGTCTCGTTCGGCTGCAGTCGACTGATGGGGAGGCGCGCACACCCGTGACGGCCGGGATTTGAGACACTTTTTTGGGAAGGGGATGAGTGGGAGACTCTAACGACCGAGAAAGAGTGAGAGTTTCTTGTCGCTGCCCAGAGGCGCCATGGCCTCGGAGGTGGTGTGCGGGCTGGTCTTCAGGCTCCTGTTGCCCGCCTGCCTCGCCGCCGGTGAGTTTTTAATTCGAATACGTTGCGTTTCCACTTTGGACTGGAGATGGGTGACGGTTTACGTCACCATTTGTTTACCCCCCTCCCCTTACCCCCTTTCGACTAAACGCGCTGATAAGATGTTTACACAACAGCCACTTGAACGTCATTTACAGTTATATCAATGTAAACATATAAATTTGCTCAGATTCGATGAAGGCAGCATTTAAACTCCAATCAAAATGTCTTACTCCAATTCATATCAGTGGAAAAGAAAAGTGGAATTTCCCCCAAGTTCCTGAAAGGCAACGTTAAAATTACCGGTACCTTAAAATGTGGCTTTCTGGCTGCCGAAAATTACTTAATCATGCATGTATGAACTTTTAATCAAGTTATATCAGTGTAAAGTTAGTGCCTAATCCCTTGAAGGCACCGTTTCAACCAAGGCACAACCTTCCTCTAAAGTTTGAAAGACACATTTGGATTCGGATTCATCCAGTTTCAGAAAACGTCCAATTCAAGGAGCAAATTGACACAAATTTATGGGCTTTATTCTGCCCTACTTGTCCGTGTCCGGGACGTGAACAGATAAGACAGATAGCGAACAACGAAAAAAGACCAAGATTCCAAAACGTTGAAATGGAGCTTTAGTTTTCTTTTTCCTTATGTTGTAAAAAGACGATGCTTTCCAAGGCGTATACACAAGAAGAGAACGAGAAACGAAGACAACAACTAGCACGAAGCCATGCGTTCTTTACTAGACGAGGTACTTCCGGTTTATGTAACCAAAATTAAAGTCTCCTAGGTTCTAACTAAAACGGAACATGACAAGATACTTCCGGTTTGTGTCGCCAAAATTAAAGTCCCGTCGAATGTAACTAAACCGAACATGACAGGCTTTAAAATGTTGTTTGCACAGCTCCTCGGAGAAAATGCCTTTTCATCACTTCTTTCTTAAAGTAAAAAAAGAATTTCAATTTTTAAAAAAATCTCCCAAACATGATACCTTAAATTCCTACTTTTTGGTGATGGATTTCATCCGAGGCCAACATAAGAGCAACAATCAAACACGCCAACATGCATTTGTTCATGTATTTCGCCTGTGTGAAAGCATAAGGTCCAGTTGGTTCATCAATAAATCCCTAGTACAAACAAAATGCCTTTTTATACACATGAATGTCATTATTATTATTATTATTTTTAGAATAAGCTCTAATACAATAATACATAACAACATACATAATTTTAACGTTGTTTTATCTTCTACCATCGATCTTAAAGGGCGTGCGTGTTGATGCCTTCAAGACAGGTGGTGAAAATAGTCTTTTAGGCTTTATTTACGTCACTAAGAGTGAATTAAAGATGACAGTTGCCGAGAATCTTATTGGTTTTAAACACTATCCATCCCAAATATTTGTTCTACCTTCAACCCAGTTTCGGTTCGAATATTTATCATAAGTTAAATTAGCCACTTGAAGGAGTAATGTCACCTTCGGGCTGTTTAGGGAAAAGGACCTTTGCTACTTTTTTTACATGGATGTGACAGCCATTAAAAATAAAGCGCATAAGGTCAGGCCTTAAATCCGTCAGGGGGGTTAAAGCTTATTGAAAGTTCCATTAAGTTGGACGTGGATTGATGCGTGTTTATTTACGTCAGCATTCACCGAGGCCTCACGTGACTGTGAATGTAAAGTCCCTCACAATCTGAATTATTCAACCATAAACAAGCTTTTATTGCACTTGTATTTAGCATGTTGTACTTAATCTAAGGAATGTAAGTTAATTACTTTATAATGCAGGCACGGTAGAACATGCAAACTCCACACAGGAAAGCCGGGGCCGGAATTGAACTCTCCACCTTTGTACTGTGAGATGGACGTGGTAACCAGTTGACCGCCGTGCCACAGTAGTTTTCATTTTTTGATGTATTTAGATTTTTTAAGATTTGAAAACCGGAGTACCTGGAGAAAAAGAGTTAATCCTTGACATGCTCACTGAGCTGAGCCCCCGAGTTTTGACATTTGTGGCACGTTGTCCCATTTGTAGGCGTGAGTTTTTCAAGGTCAACTTGGCGTTTTGTCATTAAGTGGTTCATTTGAGGTGTGGTCATGTGGTAGTCCCGGCCTCAATGAAGTGGTGTTTAGTTTTGGGTATTTAAGCAGCCATTTTGCGGTCAGGCCACAGATGGGTAAGGAAGTCACAGAGGTCCTCGCCAGTGTTTTTTTTTTTTTGTCGGAGCATAATCCCTGCTGTAATGCACAAGCACATCACTACCGAATCGTTATTTCCAGAAGCCATTGCGAGGTCATTCATGGACTCCATTAATTGGTGGAAAGCCGTTTTAACAGCATGAATTAATAATGTGGTTTGCCTTGTGAGAGAATTGACTTGCCTTTTATCGTAAGCGTACCTTTTTAATAATTTATGGCTTTTCGGGAGTGCAAAACGAGCACTCCTGTCCGTCGCCGCTGACAGGAAGCGGGAGGAAATCTAAAGTGGAACGTACAGTGGCGGCAGACGATGATGATGGCGATGATGTCGTCGGACAAGGTTCTTGTTCCATCTGCCGTGCGCCTCAACTTGATGAAAATGTCTGTCCGTCAACAAGCAAAGTAGTCGTAGTTGTCCTAACTATGAAATGGATGGATTAGAAGATGGATGGATGGGCTGGATATTATTAATAATTTATTCTATATTAATATGTTTTTAACCTTACAGGTCACCCCTCCTGGCTGACATATTGCATAGCGTGCCGTAATTAATTTCCGGTTCTGTTTAGTGGGTTGATTTTTTTTTTTCTCAAGAGTCCAGACACATTTTAATTTGCCTGCTATTTTGTTGTTCAAAGTCGGATGTTCTCCACTTCAACGCAGTTCCATCCAGACGTCTCTGAAAAGTAGTCTCAATCACCTCAAGCACATAATTGTGGTGCTAAACGTGCCAGCTGTGTGAGTCTTAGGTTAACTTAACAATCGACACGGCTTCTCCGTCTTTCTTTGTCATCCCTTCTTGAGCATGATCATGTCAGATCGCAGGTGTAAATTCTTCGCCGCCATTCAGGTGACGATTACTGACTTGAGAGACTCCGCAACGTGTTTTGACACACCAGTTGACAGTCGAAGCTCGCTGGCACTTGTAGCTGAGTTGTGTTAAGTAGCCTCACTTAAACATGTGTGCTTTTTGGGACCGTCGAGGTGGTTGATTTTCAATTTTGCAATTCAATGTGTTTTGATGAGGCACAAAATGCTAATTTCTCCCCGCAAACTGTGATGCAAAACTGCTTATTTCGAGCCTTGAGGGTGTATCAAAACATGGAGGCGGTCCATGGTGGAACAGAAAGTTTAAAGTAGATTCCTTGGAATCTTGCGGCCTAAAACTATTATAAAGCTAATCTATGTGTTTAATGTTTAATTTACCTACAGTGGTGACATACCTGTTTATCGCACTTATTGTTGAATGTGTGTGTGTGTGTGTGTGTGTGCGTGTGTGTGTGTGTGTGTGTGTGTGTGTGTGTGTGTGTGTATATGGGGGGGTGTCCATTTTGAGGAAAGGTACTCCACAATTAAAGACGATGGTCTACACTTAAGTCACATCATGATTGTTTTATCTCAATTCCATAGTGATGAAGTGTACGAAGACGAAATCACAGAACCACTGCCACAGTCCAAATATTTTTGTTTGAAAAAGAATAAAATAAAAAAAACAAACAAACAAACAAATAAGAAGAAAATGGAGTGGCCTTTCAGTACTTGGTGAGTGTGCAGCTAAGTGATAAAAGTGACCAAAGTCGCGGTCCCTCGGAGTGACGACGGACTGCACCAGATGTTATTGTTTCTGGGACTCCAACACCTGCCACTTCCTTCCCATCCGCCACCACGCACCGCACAACCTCGACACCACCCCTCCACGTTGCGTAGTTGCTTTTTTTTTTTTTTTTCCCCCCCCCCCCCCCCACCCCTGCCTCCGCGGCGGCCATCTAACATCACCTCTTTTGAAATCCTGCAGCGACAGAGTCCTTGTGTACACAACATGTAAAACACCCAAACACTCGCCACAGCTGTTTCTCACCAGTGTACCGTTACACACGTAGATGGTTGCTAAAATGCACATAATGATGCCAATGTGTCACTTTATTTGTTTATTTTCTGGCTGGAGTCGTGGAGTTGCGTGGTGAAGCCAAGATCCTCACCGCTACTGATGTGCACCTCAAAAGTCAATAACTAACAAAGCATCATGGTGGAGACCTACACTATTTTGATTGCAAGGTTGTGTTTGTACCACTGATTAGTGACTTGTTGGCGTTGGCTACATTTTACGCGGTTTATTTGCATTTTTAAATAAATGTCGTGATGCACTTGCATTTGTCATTCTGATTATTGCAATGCCCACAATCGTTAGCAAAGTAAAAGCAGTGATCTTATCTTGAGTTAGCTCGCCACTGCTCACCATTCTATCTTTGAAGAGCTAGTTAGCTTTAGATACATTAGCATGAATCACAAAAATAATGGTTTAAGCGGGACAAACTACACAATCTGACTTGCGTTTGGTGTTAGTCTATTTAATTCAAGGAAAACTAGCTCTCTAAGATTCACCAACTGATCTTTTACTAACAAGTTTGCATTAGCCACATTAGCCTGACTTGCATACTTAATTATTTCAGCAGAACAAACAACAAAAGCATGACTTTGTTGTTAAAGTTTACTAAAGGCACACGAGCTCGCTTAGTACTCTCCGCTCGACCTTAGTGGCTAGTTAGCATTATCCACATTTGCCTGTCTCGCAAACTTGTTTTTTCTTTGTTTTTGTTTTTAATCCAATACAAAAGAAACAACAAAAGCATGACTCACGTTTACTCTTAAAATCGAAACTAGCGCATGACTACTCGCCACTCAACAATTTATTTGTTAGTGGCGTGCTGGCATTAGCCACATTAGCACACGTTCATAATTTAAGATTGACAAACAACAAAAGCATGACTCATGTTTGCTGTACTCTTAGTCTGTTGACCACTGCCTTGCTACTGCTTGAGATTTTAGTGGGTATTTAGCATTAGCCACATTAGCATGACTCACAATATTCTATCTCTACACTTTCTGATAGGCTCTTCTTATCAAGGTGCGGTGTGTTTTAAAATAATAATTACAATGAAATTAGAGGCATAAGACGGGGTCAGGGAGGGATGATTTTTCCAAAATCTTTGGAATTCTTTTGTCAAATCACTCAGACAGGTTTAACATTTAGGACAGCGTTTTTTTTTTTGTTTTTTTTAACTTCAAATTCCCCCTTCAAACGCACATAGAAACAAAAGTTGAGCCAAATAAATCTATTTGATAAACATCAAAAATCTGTTTCTTTGTGTTGTTTAAGTCTAACACAGGCAAATTCGAAGTTAAACTCTACGCAGGAGTGACTTGATATGCTTCGGTTAAAGAAAAAAAATAACACCTAAAAAAACAAGGAAAGGTCTTTAGGTGGTTTAGAATTCCTCACTTATCGCCCGCGGTGCTGAGCTGCGCCTCCTTAACATCCGTTTATATTTCTGGGCCCAAACTCTGCCTTTGTGGTTTTGTGGCAGCTTTTATGGCTTTTGAAAAGACGAGATGAGACAAAAGCCTGATTCAACTTTTTTGCTTCATGTGATATGTGAAAACAAAAGACGCTTATTTTTTTTATTTTTTATGGACCCTCGGTCAGTGAGTCACCAAAAGCAGACGGGAAGCATGCGGTCAAGCGTCTGCAGATAAATACTTCAAACTGCTTGGCTCCCGATACATTCTATTTTATTTTTTTAAGCAGTCAGTCAGTATCCCTAATAATTAGATTAGGCTTTCAGTGTGAGAGCACTTATGTGGAGCAGTAAGGGGAGCCAAGGCAAATGTTGTTGAATGGGACCTTTGAGTGCGCAAAGATAAATAAAAGCAGCATTTTTTTTTTTTTTTTTGAGCGGTCCAGTTAAATTTTTTTCGGTTTGTTAATGACGTGGTTGTTGATTTTAGAGCACAAAGAGAGAACCTGAGAGGACTTGGCAGATACCTCCAGAAAAATGGCATTTGTGTCAAGAGGAAGGTAGGCTTGGTATAGTAAATTCCAGCAAGTATATACGGCATTGAAGTAGGCATTTTATTGATTTTTTTCGCTGTTTAAAACAGTTACCGATTGTTTTACTCTACTTATGTTGCTGTGAAGTGCAGATCCGTGCATGAGGCTCATGCAGCTTCCCCCAACCCCGCTGCATTGACACATTCGTAGAGCAATCAAGTTTGTACCAAAGCTGTTAGACAATGCTAAGCTGTAAACAATACTTAACATTAGCTTCTCACCATATGACAACGTCACTAACGCCATTTTATTCTGTCTCCTTAGCTTGTCTTTTCAGGTACAACGTGCTGTCCTTCATCTACCTCATTTTCCTCCTGCTTATTCCTCTCTTCCCTGAGCCCACATGCACCACCATGCAGGGTAAGTCCATACCAACCACCTCAGAAACATATTTACCTCCACCAAGAAAGAATATGAAAACGTCTCAACACATTTCTATTACACATTGATGCATACAAATAGACTCTAAATTGTCCCTAGTTGTGGTTGTGAGTGTGTGTGGATGGTTGTTTGTCTTTGTGTGTTCTGCGATTGGCCGGCAACCGGTTCAGGGTGTCCCCCGCCTGCTCCCCGAAGATGGCTGGGATAGGCTCCAGCAACCCCCGCGACCCTTGTGAGGATAAGTGGATCGGAAAATGGATGGATGGAAGTTTAACAGTAAAAATCAAAACGTAACGTTCTTTCTTCATTGGGTACCGGATAATTTTTGCTTTCATCAAATGCGAAGATCTGTAACTCTTGTTTTCACTCCGTTCAAACACCAAACCTTTCCTCAGGCGATGTATTAGGTCCATATTTCAATTGCGGAAGGTTAACATTGCTTAGTGCTGTCACTGTAAGCATAAAAATGATCCACCATCGATCCTGCAGTAATCCAATTTGCTTGAGGAAAAGAAGAAACATTTGAGACTACAAAGAAAAAAAATCCACCCCTGAGTGACTTGATTTGGATTGTCCATGAAAAAAAACAAAAAAAGCGTAAAATCTTCGTTGGGTTTAATTGCTGAGACTGCATTTCACCTTTATTGAATGTGTGTGGAAGATGATTAATCGTAATGGTCGTCATTCCTGATGCCATTTAACTCAAACGTTCCTTAAAGTTTAACTCCTCTGAATTTAAAACGACCACTGAGGTTTATTTGGCGCGGCGGTTTGGATTGCGGTCGCCAAGCAGAACACCTCTTCCCGCCGAAGACAGCACCCGCAGCTCTCAATAATATATAAAAGCATATTGGGGCAGTGTCCAGAGCGTCTCCAGCTGAAATAACAATCAGGAAGTCGAGCAGCACCAGAGTGGACCACTTACATGCTCATCAATAGTTAAAGACACGGGGAAGAGGAATATTCACCGATCCCATTCCCAAGTTAGAAACACATGTTATGTCAGGACAACGGTATTAGGTACAATGGCATATTTGAAGAACGTCCAATATGAGAGCTGTATCAGATTTGGTTTGATAGCGAGTCACAGCTTTTTAAAAAAATAGAGATGAGATGTCTCTCATAACTAGTAGTACACCCACATGAATGTATACAAACCAAGCAGCCGTTTTGGTTTAAAGCAGCCATTTTTGTGACATTTGGGCTATTTGCACTAGTTGTCCAAAGATGGACCTGCCCAAGTATTTTTCCCATTTTGTTACCAAATTGGAACAACACACACTAGACCAGGGCTCAGCAACCTTTTTACACTCAAAGAGCCATTTTGACCCACCGGTCTCACTTTGTGTCGTGAAATTTAGTCACAACGGCCATCATGAGTTGACCACACAAAAGTCCCCAAAAGGTCTCAAAAACCCATGCCCAAAAATGAACAGGAATTTGACCATTTTGGTTTGTGTGTGTGAAATTTGTAGGAGTCCCTCCTACTGGAAATTTTACCAGCACTCTACTAAATTGGACACATGTATAAAATGCAGGTAAGGTGCTAAAATTGCAAGAAATGTGATGAGGCTTGGTCATTGCGTGTGGGTGAAGCCGAGTAGTGATTCCCCATAAATTACGCCCCAAAAGCCAGTTCCCCTTAGCAACATGGAATTTAAACAAAAAAAATGTATGCGTAGCATTCAGTTGCTACCAAATTTGAACCACGCATAGGAGACAGACGAAAGGAATTAGAATTTTGGTCATTGATGTGTCGGCAAGGTTAGTGTATGACCAAAATATCTTGAAACGCATGCCGGTACGCCATAAATGCTTGACAATATCATGCATCGAATGCTCAAATGATGCTCAAAGGTTGTATAATTCTCGGGAGCAAGCAGTAATTCTTAAGACGGACAACGCCTTCTGTTTGGGAAACCACTCAAAGATTCTCTTGAGATGATGTCTCAACCAGTTCTAAAAATATAAATGAAGTCAAGATGAGTGTGTTGCAACCAAAGCCTCTGTCCAAAATGGAGAAAAATGATCCGCAGTCAAAGCAAAGTTGTTCCTTTGCAACATTTTGTTTGCAGAAAGCGGCCGAAACACTCCCCATGGTTCCCCCGTTTACAAGCGTTTTTTTCCGGCCTTTGCGGCTGGCTTGGGAATCGCGTTGGGAAATGAGCACAAATTGCTCAAAGTTTTAATGCGCTTGCTCTGGTCTGTTGAGCGGATTTGATAAAGTAGGGCCAGTAGCGCTTCACCTGAGCCAGGGTACTGTAAAACTGAATGTTGCTCCCGGTGGGGAGGAGACGGAGGGACTACTAATTGTCATAAAGTTAAGCAGAAACAACCAATGGAGCTTTGTTTCCACACAGAAGCACACTAAGTAGTACTTTGAACCCGCTCACACCGAAACCAAGCCCCAGGATCTTCATCAAACGACTTCGAGTGTTGCGCGCAGTCTCACAGCAACGTTTTCCCCCCCAAGTACCTGTCGGTGCGCTATAAAAACGGCTTACATGTGCACAGCAGCTGTGGCAGCTTTCGGGCATTTGAAGGCAGCTTTGGGAAGATGATGTGGCTCGAGGGGAAGGTCATTAGGTGTGACCACGAACCACTACATATTCCATATCTTCAGCAGAGGGGGTCGACTGACTAGCACGACGTGCAACACTTGAGAGAGTTTTTTAGCCACAGTATGAGGTGTCGGATAGGGCGAAACCAGTCCTCGAGTAATTTGAGTACCTTGATTTAAAAAAAGTAAAATGAAATAAAAGAAAATGCTTGAGGATTTTTTTTTTTACTGCCTCAATACCCAATCTTCCCAAATACAGTAATACACGGACATCAGTGCCATGGCAAGCTTTTATTTTGACGTTGTTCATTGTGGCCTGGGGGCAGACTTAACTCGGTGTGTGAGTGTGTGTTTACACACAAATCTTTTTCTTCCCCTCATTTCCCTCTACACCCCTCATGAATTAACTTGAAACCAGTCCGAGGCACCCCCTGACTTAGTGCATCAGCAGAAGGGACAATTCTGGCAGAGCTCCTCGTGGCTGCTCACAATGCCCTGAGCATCTGACAGTTCCTGGCCATGCTTGAGCAATACCCTTACTCATCCAACCTGCCTCTATGGGATATTTTCCTCATCGAGTGGACCTTCTTTTGATGACGTGGATAATATCAAGATGGCCGTGACAATGGAATCCTTCCACGAGAGCGTGAAGGTGTGGCAAAGAAGCCCGGGAAAGCGAGTGGCAAATTTGTAGTTAGGATTGGCGATGTATCATTTGTGACAGGATTCTTGGAAATTATCTGACACATATCCTGTGTGCTCCTGTCCCCCCAAAAAGTTTTCAAGACTAATTAGGGTGGTTTTGATGGTGATCAAGGTTTTTTTGTCCTCCGTCCAGGCTACACAGGGCGTCTGCTGCAGTCACTGTGCTTCACTAGTGTGTCCTTCCTGCTGCTGCACATCATTTATCAGATTACGGTCAACAGCCTCCTGGCCGGCAACTCCATCAACTCTGACATCAACAGTGAGTTCAACTGTAAGTAGCACGCAGAAGGCCACCATGGCCATCAGCTTTGCTGTCTAAATAGAAGGCAAAGTGACTCACAAGGCTATAAATTGCGTCGTCTTCTCCGCTGTCAGACTTGAGTTTTCTTCACTGCTGTCTCAGTCGCACCCTGTTCACGTTGGTTTTTTTTTTATTTTTTTTTTTCTTTGGTTAGTATTTTCTTCTTTGGTTGGTGTCCGCTTCGCTTTGTGTCATCTTTGTGGTTCGTTTCTTTTTCAGGTCACATATTCTACTTTGGTTCATACAGTATCTTTGTCAGTTTTCATTTTCTTTGGTTCAAGTTGTTTTATGTTTTTTTTTTTTTTTTTTTTTTGCATTTTAATTCATTACATTGTACTTAATTATATGATATTATGTGTTGTTTTTTGGCCTCAGCCACTTACACTTACTCATCTCTGTTGCTCGGATCATTTTTCTGAACCCTTCTTGGTAGTGCAGCATTTCTTTCCTCGAGCCCAATCCATCAACTTTTACGTACTGCATGTGACACATACTCGAGTAATGACGAAGTGAGGGGCTTCAATCAACAGGCGGGTGTGTGTGTGTGTGTGTGTGTGTGTGTGTGTGTGTGTGTGTGTGTGTGGCAGGAAAATGACATGAAAATGTGACGGTTTGGACATGATAAGAAGCTGCCTCCTTCGTTTAGTCAGCTCCACCCATGTCTTTGACGGTTTACACCCCCCACCCCACCCCCCAAACTATTTGTAAATGCACTCACATACACACTCATGCACTATGTTGAGTCAGCACAGAGGAATGACGGATGACTATTAGGGAAAAAGGCGGTGACCAGCGGACGACCTATCGGGGCAGCTGGAGCTTATCAGGGTATCCCCTGTCCTACTCCCATTCACAGTGGCCGGCGTGTTTAAGAGGAAATATAATTTTTGTAATTTTTTTTTTTTTTTTTTTAGGAAAGGGAGAGAGAGAGAGAGAGGCGGGGAGGTGGTATGAGTAACCGCGTCAGAATGAAGGAAGACTCCTTGTTTACGGCGGCGCCAGAAGGAAAAGGGTGTCAAGGGGTTGAATACCAGATTTAGAAAGTTCAGATAAGGGAGGCATTGACTGGAAATGCAGGAAATGACCCCGAAGGCAGAAAAATGCACCTAAACACACTTTCATTTCCCCCTCATGTTTAATGGTCTTTACAACCGTAATGTACTATACTCTCATCATATTTAATGTCTTTAGGCCTCCGATATATCATATTTACATTAGATTTCATGGTCTATACAACCCTTTTGCTCTCTACTTATATTTGTTTGATACATCTGTAGTATGACATGTTTGCCGTTCTGTACATCGAATGTAACATAATTACTGTTCTATACAACTCTAACGTACCATACTTAATGTTCTCCACGTCCCCAATTTACCATATTTAAACACTGATTGTATTTTACACCAGTAATATACCACATTTTCACCCTATGTAATGTATGCCCCCGTTAATATTCCACATTTACACCATATTTTCATTGAAATGAGGGAGGTGGGCTTTCATTCTCTGCAAGCCACCCCCCCACCCCCCTGTTTCCGATGGGTACAAGCCCGTCTGCAACAGCACGTTCGCATTGGGCGTCAACGCACCTTCGCATGCCACTGAGAGTACGTGATGAAATGATGACGGACCACAGCTGCAGATAGCATTTTATGGTTAACTGCAGCTGGATCATTTCATCAATACGAGAATGACTCAGACATTAATTTGAATGTACCAAGCGTCTCTTTTTCTTTTTCAGGGTTCAAAATGTTTTTATTTCACTGATAATAAGTCCTCGAGGTGGAATTATATCTCACAGCCTTCTGTGTAACTGTATTTTTGTGTTTAATGTTGTTTCCACGATTACTTTGTGGTGTTGAATTATGTATCGTCTCCACAAACCACAAATGTGTGGTCCTCTCAGTTAGTGGTTGAATAAACCGCCCCCGAAGGGGTAAAATATGTCACGGAGTCCCAGTTAACTCAGCAACGTTTGTGTCGGCACAACAAAGGCAGCAAAGTTGCTCCTGTTTGTCTGAGCACTCTCAATAGATGGAAACGGACCCCCACTGCTCCGCAGTGACGTTCAGGAACACTTAAAGTACTCGGAAGGAAAGATGACATTCTTCATCCCCTGAGAGTCAGCACAGGAGCAATTTTCATCCAGTTCTACAAGTGAAGGATTGTACTATATATGTATGTGTATACAGTATAGGTGTGTGTGTGTGTGTGTGTGTGTGTGTGTGTGTGTGTGTGTGTGTGTGTGTGTG